AATTATTCATCTCTTCTAGTGGCCCTTAAGAATTCTTTAACAAATTATAAAGTATTTCCGTATTGGCATGCAATTTTGAAACATTGCCATTTAACAGCGTTTATTTTACAATCAAATGTAACAAATATACATTAAACTTTCTCCTATAAATATTCTAAAGTTTCGGTTTTCTTTAAAAGGAGATACAGTCATCAAATGCTATTGTAGAATTGTATTGTTTATTTATAATCTATTTTGAGAGTGCAGGATGCTGTTTTTACACTGTCTCAACTCTGTGTTTATTCAGGCTTTTTATTTGTCAGTATTTCAAAGAAAGACACTGGAATTTTCTTCTTTGAAAAGTTCCCATTGCATAAAGGACATGTACCTTTATCTAAAGAAAAGAAAGGAAAAGTGAGGTCTCCTTTTGGCACCAAGCCCAGTCTAGCAGTTTGGCCATTTTTTCACATTGCTTTAGTTCTTTGAAAATTAGAAAAATGCTGTTGTTCATTTTTTTGAGGCTTCCAAGGGATGAAAGACTTTGATCCTTCAACTAAAATTAGAGCACTTCTCCCAGGAACAATATATAACAAAACACATTTAATTTATTCTCCCTTCATGTAAACACTGAATAGCTTTAAGAAAAAATACCTGAAGACCTACGGTAGGCTTTTTTATTAAAGAGAAGTACACCTGCTCCAAAATAAAAACCACAAAATATTGGAAATGCAAAAAAAAAAAAATGTAAGTCATTAAAAACACTTAAAATATATACCCGAAGTTACTTAAAGCTAACACATTGAATTGTCTAGAGATAAAGTCCTTTTCTGCTTTGCTGTGAACTACTTTTGGCCCTTAATTCCTGCTCTCTTTGACTGGGAGCCATTAAGAGGTGGTCTTCCTTCATACAAGTTTAAATACCTTCCCATTGCCATCACTCTCTTCAGGCCTTTATTCCTTGTACCATAGTAGTTTTATTTTCCATTGCTTCTCCCACATGAACATTATTCCAGACAAATAATCACTTTTTAATTTTCATATTCAGGTTTATCTGTCTTATATGGCTTTTCCACTTATACCACACCTGGTTAATTAAAATTTTTACCTATAATTTAAAGACCACTTTTAGAATTACTTCCTTTACAACACCTCTGATCATCTAAACTCTGGAAACGATTTCACATTTTTCTAAACTTCTATAACCCTTACTATCAGTATCTCTCAGTGTTATCTAGCATTTTCTGTAAACAGCTGTGTTTTGGCCTCCTATTGGAAGTATACAACATCATTTATGAATACTTCTTGCCAAAATCAAACCCAAATCTCAGTACACCTCTGGATCTAAGTACCAGTTTGTAAGAAATATAGAAGTTGTAGGAAAATGTGAAATGATACCAAAGACATACAGCCATCAAAATTTTCCAGACTGTTAGAAATTTTGCAGGACAAATGACTGGCTTCTTCAACAATTAAATTGAAAGGTGTGGGGAGGGGGGGTATGCAAGGAAGATCCTATAGATTAGAGATTTAAGACACAGGGAACAAAAGAAAAAACAGGTAAGTTAGTTTTCATCAAAATTAAGAACTTTTGTGAATAAAAGTATGCTATCAAGAGAATGAAAAGACAACCCACAGAACAGGAGAAAATATTTTCAAATTGTTTCTGATAAGGGATTGATATCAGAATATATATATAAGGAGCCAACAACTCAACAACAACAACATTTTTAATGGGCAATAGACTCTAACAGACATTTCTCCAAAGAAGATATACAAATGGCTAATATGTGCATGAAAGAATGCTCAACATGATTAGGGAAATGCAAATCAAAACCACAGTGAGATACCTCCTCATACCCATTAGGGTGGCTATTATTAAAAAACAAAACAAAACAGAAAATAACAAATATTGAGGATGTGGAGAAATTTGGAACCCCTGTCCATTGCTGGTAAGAATGTAAATGATGCAGCTACTGTGGAAAGGTTATGGCAATCCATCAAAAACTTAAACATAGAATTACATAAAATTAAACATATGATCCAGCAATTTCATTTTGGGGTATATGCCCAAAAGAAGTGAAATCAGGGACTCAGATAAATGTTTGCACACCAGTGTTCACCATAGCCATAAGGTGGAAACAGCCCAAATGTGCATCAGCAGGTAAATGGGTAAACAATATGTGGTATATGTATATACAATGGAATATTATTCAGCCTTAAAAAGGAAAGAAATTATGACACATGCTATCATATGGATGAACTTGGAAGACATGCTAAGTGAAATAAGCCAGTTACAAAAGGACAACTATTGAATAATTCTACATATGTGAGCTACCTAGAGTAGGCAACTTCATAGAGGTAGAAAGTGAAATAGAGATTACAGGGGCTGGAGGCAGGGAGCATCAGGTGGCAGTGCTTAATGTGTACCATGTTTCAGTTTGGGATGATGAAAAAATTTAGTGATGGTTGCACAACAATGTAAATGTACTTTATGCCACTGAACAAGTACATTTAAAAATGGTTAAAATTGTAAATTTTGTGTTATTTATATTTTGCCACAGTAAGAAAAGCAGGTGACTTAAGAGACCTATCCAGCAAGTGCAATGCAAGGATCTTCTTTGGATCCTCATTTGAGCACTCTTAAAAATAATTTTCTGGGGCCGGCCCAGTGGCGCACTGGAGAGTGCGCTGCTTGGGAGCGCGGCGGCGCTCCCGCCAAGGGTTCGGATCCCATGTGGAGACCGGTTCCCACTCACTGGCTGAGCGCGGTGCGGGTGCAACACCAAGGGTTGCGATCCCGTTGCCAGTCCCCGGTACGGGCGCAACACCGAGGGTTGCGATCCCGTTACCGGTCAGTAAAAAAGACAAAAAGGAAAAAATAAGAATAATAAGAATAATTTTCTGAAACAGGGAAGTCGGTAATGCTGATTTAAATTTGAAGACATTATGGACTTGTTGATTTTTTAGGTGTGGTAACTATATTCGGCAGGGAGTGTAACTGTCCATCTAGAGATATAGCCTGAAATTTTTAATATGAAATAATATGATATATGGGATTTGTTCAAGGTAATCCAGTGGGAGGTAGAGAGTGAAAAGGGGTATGGATGAAACAAGACCCGCCGTGAGTTGATAAATATTGGAGCTGAGTTTCATTATATTATTATTTAATTATGAATAGTTATTCATTCTATTATTCTCTCTACTTCTGTATATGATTGAAGATTTCCTTGACTTAAAAAAAGTGGTTTTAATTGTTAATTGTGCATTTTACTATTATACCAAGGTTATGATCCAGAGGGAAAAAAATGTTTAGCTTATCAGGAAGCCATGATTGGTAAAGTATTGTTTCTATATTTATTGTAGTTCTTTTTATTGCAAGCAACATAAAACCTGACACAATATACTTGAGCAAGAAATGAAGTTTATTTAGTGACCAGACATAGAGTTAGCTTCAAACCCAGCTTAATCCAGGACTTAAATATCACCAGTATTCATTTTTCAGGCCTGCCAATTAAAGATTGAGTCCATTCTCAGGCTCTAAGTACTGGCCCTCTAGCAATTCCAGTCACTCTCCATGACCTCACATTCCTAAGCTTAACATTCTCACATTATCAAAGCCCATCACCAAAAAAAAGAAAAAAGGAAGTCAGTGATCCAGCATTCTCAACAGACATCCTACAGAACCACTCTGAGTGGCCCATCTTAGATCATGGCCTGTCCCTAAACCAGTCCCTGGAGCCAAATTAATGCAACCTGCTCATTAGCTTGGGCCTAAGCTACTTACCCATCCCTGTGTCAGTTCCATAGGAGTACAGTGATTGGCTTAGGCCAATCAGCATCTACCTCCAGAGTTGAAGGTAGAGTCATCCCACCCAAACTGCAGGTTTGACAATAGGAATGACTTCCCAAAGGAAAATCAAGTTACTGTTATGAAGATTTAATTACTATGTATTAAATAATGTAATTCAACTGTTGGTATATACAAATCTCTGTTATTCTACTGAATTTATAAATTTGCTTCACTTGAGGTGTTATGAATAGTAAAAATTTAAATAGAAAGTACATGAAGTGACGTGCATATAAACTTCTGATATACCTGTTATTTGCTAGCCAGCATCCATTCCTCCACTGTTTTAGTAGGTGTTCTCTAGAGAAACAGAACTGATAGGAGACACAGAGAGAGATTTATTATGAGGAATCAGCTCATGTGATTATGGAGGCTCAGAAGTCCCATGATCTGCCATCTGCAAGGTAGAGACCCAGGAAAGCTGGTGGTGTAATTCAGTCCAAGTCTGAAGGCCTGAGAACCAGGGTAGCCTTAGTGGTGTAAAACCCAGTGTGATGGTAAAAGAAGATGGGATGAGATGTCCCAGCTAAAGCATTGAGGCAGAAAAAAAAGGGTGAATTCCTTCTTCCTCTGTTTTTTTTTTAGGCAGATTGGATAATGCCCTCCCACGTTGAGGAGGACAACCTCCTTTACTGAATCTCTCCACTCAAATGCTCATCTCAAGTGGAAACACCCTCACAGACACACCCAGAAATAATGTTTATTCTGGGCACTCTGTAGCCCAGTCAAGTTGACACTTAAAATTAACCATTCCATCCTCCTTACCAGTAATAGTAAGCTGATGAAATGCGGTATCATTTCTCAGTATTAAGACTGTACTTCAGGGCCGGCCCGGTTGTGCACTGGAGAGTGCGCCGCTTGGGAGCGTGGCGGCGCTCCCTCCAAGGGTTCAGATCCCATGTGGAGACCGGTTCCCACTCACTGGCTGAGCACGGTGCGGGTGCAACACCGAGGGTTGCGATCCCGTTGCCGGTCAGTAAAAAAGACAAAAAGGAAAAAAAAAAAAAAGACTGTACTTCAACTGTGTATTATAAAAATTTTCCATTGTACCAAAGAGAGGTAATTTAAAGTAAAAATGTGTTTTTAATTAGGTGAAGTTTCAATATTAATATTCCTATTGGTTACCTCTAAACCATCTAAAACTTATTTTCTGGTATGTTTTTATGTCTTTCAGGGCTAATTTCATATACTGAGTATATTTTCTTGCTTACAATCCTCACAAGTAAGTATCCTGCAATTTTTCTGAGTGATCATATGGAATTTTCCTACTAAACAAGATTTTGGAAGTTTGTTATTTATGTCTTTATCAGAAAACATATGGTTGGTGCCTTGGTTCCTTATATACAAAATGTTAATGTTGTATTAGATTATCCCTTTAGGTCTCTTCTACCTCTTCTACTATGGCACCCCATAGCATTGTCTTCTTAATAGAAGGCTTGTTGAACAGAATAATCACAGAGTTAGCCTGCACTTAGGAATATTAAAAACTCCCATCTGACAAACAAAATTCCTGACCCTTCAAAAGTATGAAGGTGATGAAAAACAACGAAAGACTGAGAAACATTCACAGATTGGAGGAGAGTCAGGAGATGTGATAACTAAACGCAACATGGTGTCTTGTATTTGATCCTACAATAGAAAAGCAGCATTAGGAAAAAAGCACAATTCAAATAAAGTCTGAAGTTTAGCTCATAATGCTGTGTTAATTTCTTAGTCTTGATAAATGTGCTGTGGTTATGCCAGATATTGACATTAGAGGAAGCTGGGTGAAGAGTATATGGTGACTCTCTGTGTTATCTTTACAACATTTCTATATGTCTAAAATGATTGCGACATAAGAAGTATTTTTAAAAGGCCTGCTCTGAAAAAGGGAAGTAAAAAGTAATCATCAATATGAAAATAGCCAAAGTACTATAAAAATATAGGAAAGCCCCTAGGAGAGCTAAAGAAATAAGTTCTCAAATTAATTTTGCATTGAAAGGCAGAACACTTAATAGCAGAGCAGCAGCAACTGTGGAAAAGGTGCTGGAGAATGCAGGGAACAAAGCCTCCACACCGAATGTGTCAGCCTTTGCAAACTGTTATAAGGAGAGATCATTATTTTCTCTGTTTAGGTACTTACTCATAGTTTCTGGTGGTTTATTTCAAATTTGAGGATCTATCTATCTGCAAATAATATTCATTTTTCACTTCATTGCAGAACCCCATTCTGGATTTCATGTTGCTTTTAAAATGCTGGATGCGGATGGTAATGAAATGATTGAAAAAAAGGAATTTTTTAAGGTAAGTAGACGCTAGTTATTTTAGGATTATCACAAAACATCTGGATGCTTGCGTGATAATTTTACATTTTCATAAAAATGAAATTATATTGTGTTTACATATGAAATGTCAATAAATTATTTGAACATTCAAAAATGTTAAATTTTTTGCAATTCAACTTTGAGGAAACCAATAAATGAACAGGGCACAAGATTCCAAAAAGAAAGATAAGCTTAAGCATCGACATTTTTGAGAATTTTGTTTTTATCATTTCGGCAAATAATACTACAGTAAAAACGGCTTCATGGGATACATATACACATTAAACAATATGTGTTAAAGATATACTAAAAATTATTTTTACACCAAGAAAGAGGAATAGGCGTAATAGAAATGTAAGCCTTCATAAAGAACAGGAAAAAAGTGAAAAAGCCACAATGGTGTAAATTGGTGTTAATTTTCCAGGAATTTGCGAAGGCTAATATTTGAAAAGCTGAAAATATGTTTAAATGCTATTTCCTAAGACATTACTTTAGAATATCCAACCAGTAAATTTCACTCTCTTCTCAAAAAGTTGTTGGTAATATGAAAAAAATACCTTAGTGCACATAAACTGTTAGGTATGTGCCAGTTAGGGTCAAATGTTTTTAATCTCTTGTAGAGCTTTATGGAGAAAAGATAACATGTAGATATGTAGCATAGTGATTAATACATATTAGCTATCATTGATGAATTAATGAGTACATATATAAATGACAAGTACATACATAAATGACTAGTTTAGACTTTGTTTAAAAGCCTTTGAAATAATGAAGCAAGTAGAACTCTCTTACATTGCTGGTAAGAGTAAAATGGTATACACACATTGGAAAACTAAATTGGTGGCTTCTTTTACAGTTCAGTATATATATTTAGCATATGACCTAGCAATTCCACTGTAGAGACAGGAAAGTATAGCAAGCAATTGTCTGGAAATCAAGAATGTAGCCAGGATTTGGGAACATCCTCATAGGGGTGATAAATAAGTCATGAGAGTGTGTATGACCTCAGAGGGGGAGAATGTGGAGTGGAAAGGGGTAAGACCAGAGTCTTGAAGAACAATTTCATTTAAGAGGTCAAGCTGAGGTTGAGAAGCCAAGAAATGAAATTGAGAAGGAACAGAGTAGCAGAGAATTAGGAAAGCCCAGAGAGTGCAGGGTAATGGAATCTCCAGAAGAAAAGAGTAACAAAGAAGGAGGCTTTAATACCAAACTCTTTAAAAAGCGGTCAAGTAAGGTAGGGACTGAGTAGAGAGTCCCTTAAATTTTGTAGGTCCGTAGGAACCATTACAGAAGCAGTTTCGAAAGAGTGGTAGGGACTGACTCCACAGAACAAAAGACTGAAGAGGAGTGAACAGGAAGGACAAAATTGGTAGCAGTAGATAAAAATATTGTTTTGAGATATTTGATGATTAAGGGAAAAATTAAGTTTAGCTTAAGAAAAAAAATATGTTTGCATAAGTAACACATGAAATACCAGTGCCATAAGTCACAAGGTACCTTTACTCTCCAGCTACGTCAGTCTTCCTCAGGGACAAGAAACAGATAGATTTAAGACTGTGGTTATTATTCAGGTAAGGAGTAATTCGTATGAAATGGCCAGGATAGATAAAGGTGAAATTCTATTGAATTAATTAAGCTATTAATGTTTGCACATGCCATAATTCCCTCAGACCTGGGTGAACTTTCTGGTTTTATTCCTGGGTGTCACAAGGTATAGAGAGCCAAATCTCGGAAGTACCGTATCAACTTTGTATCCCTAGAATAGTAAAGTTGGAGGTAATTTTATGAACTGATTATAATATTGTCATACTTACCAGGACCATTGTTTTGATGCGCTGTCATAGTTTGGTGGTGATGTGAGGCCAGATCATAAAGCCTGGATGTAGATAAAGGAGACACTGAATGTGAAACTGAAAAAAGACACTAGAGGGCATGTTGTTGTAGTTTTCTTTTTCACAGAGCACATTAGTGTGCCTTTTATGCACAGTCTCCTTTATCTTTTACTTTGTGTACAGCCTCTACTCAGGAAATTGTTGCTTATACCTACTTTCAAAGATTTCCAAATACATTTTTTCACATAACAGTTTAATATGCTGGATTTTTGGAACAATTTCTGAATACCACAGGTTTCTACTTAAGTGTTTGGGAAATTCTTGGATGATCAACACATCAATTAAGGAAACAAGAAAAAGAATATGTGAAGATACATCACTGATTTTTTTTTCTCTACACAATAGAATAATGACAAGGCTATTTACTAATATAAATTGCTCCTTAGTTGGTCCTTTTATTTCACATTACTTTCATACTGGTAGAAAGGACTGTGCTCTTAATATAGTAATGTTCTAATTTTATCATACTAAGTATACCTGCTAAAGCTATTATTAAACAAATATAAAAGCTTTCAGTAGAATTTATTCTTTTTGATTTTGTAACAGTATTCTTGTTCCAGAGTTTAAACCATCATGATCCTGAAAGCAAAAATAAATTGACCCTACATACTTTTCTTCAGGCTGAAATTGAAAATATTGGTGAATATAAACTTAAATAGTCAATTTGATAGTCATTTTTTTAGTCATTGAGAATTTCTATCTAGCAAATGGGCACTTTCCTGCTTCTTTTACCACTTTTGTATAACACTGTAACTTCTTTCTGTTTCTCTAACAAAGT